GATGATTTGATTTTATATGGATCTAATCGTGTCAACCAAAAAACTATTGGAACTAATCAACAATTTCAATAAAAGTTATATCATGCAGAAGTCAGTTGTATTCCTTTACACTAATGATGAAGTACCTAAAAACTATCCCACTCAAAATAGCATTAAAAGCAATAAACTATCAAGGGAAAGTTTAACCTAGGAAGTGAAAGATCTGTACAATGAAAACTACAGGACTTTGTTGAAGGAAATCAAAGAGAACACAAATGGAAACACATCCTATGCCCTTAAACTGGAAGAATTAAAATTGTTAAGATGACCATTACTGCTCAAAGCTATCTATATATTGAATGCAGTTCCCATGAAAATACCAAATGCATTCTTTACAGACACAGAAGAAACAATCCAAAAATTTTTGTGGAACCACAAAACCAAACCCCAAATAGCCAAAACAATCCTGGGTAAAAACTAAGCTGTGGGAATCATGCTTTCAGATTTGAAACTATACTATTAATACAAAACCACAGTAATAAAAACAGTATGTTACTGGCACAAAAAATAGACACACTGCCCACTGGAATAGAAAGACCAGAATTAAATCCCACTGAGAGAAAAGTGAAAGTGTTAGTAGCTCAGTCGTGTCCAACTCTTTCTGACCCCATGGGCTGTAGCCCGCCAGGCTCCTCTGTACATGGGACTCTCCAGTCAGGAACACTGGGCTGGGCTGCCCTTCCCTTCTCCAGAGGATCTTCCTGACCCAGGGAGCGAACTCGGGTCTCTTGCATGGCAGGCAGATTCTTTACCATCTGAGTCACCAGCGAAGCCGACCGGTCAACGAACACTTGATGAGGGAGCCAGGAACACCCAGAGGGGAAAGGTAGTCTCTTCAGCAAAGTTCTGGGATACTGGAGAAACATGCAGAACCAACCAAATCGGATGCCTGTGCTGTGCTGTGCTTGGTCGTGTCCAACTCTCTGCCACCCTGTGGACTGTAGCCCACCAGGTTCTGCTGTCCATGAGGATTCTCCAGGCAAGAACACTGCAGTGGGTTGCCACGCCCTCCTCCAGAGGATCTTCTCAACCCAGGGACTGAACCCAGGTCTCCTGCGTCGCAGGAAGATTCTTTACCATCTGAGCCACCAGGGAAGCCCAGGAATACTGGAGTGGATAGCCTATCTGTTCTCTAGGGGAGCTTTCTGGCCCAGGAATCAAACCGGGGTCTCCTGCACTGCAGATGGATTCTTTACCAGATGAGCTACCCGGGAAGCCCAAATTGGGTGCCTATCTAACACCATTCACAAAACTTAAATAGTGCTAAGTGTTGTGAATAAAAGAGCCTAATGTGACACTAATAAGGCAATGAGGGGAAATTTTTGAAGTGTAATCAAAGAAGGCCTGCTTTGAATATATTAACATAAATCATACATTAATTAAGTTGAAATGGATCAAAGCCTTAAACATAAGACCTGATGCCATAAAACTTCTAGAAGGGAAGATGCTCAATATTGGTCTTGGCAATGACTTTTTGGGACATGATGCCAAAGGCACAAACAACAGAAGCAGAAAACAAAGGAGACTACATCAAACTCAGAAGCTTCGTACAGCAAAAGAGACAAAAGATGAAAAAATAGCCTAGTGAATGGGAGAAAATTTTTACACACCACATACAGTAAGTCTCTATAACAAACCTGCAAGCTGGGAACTCTCACAGATGCAAACAGGCCTTCACAGGTCCAATCAGGTCCAAGTTCATGTTTCTGGGCTACATAATCATGTGCCTGCATCCTCTACAATTGGCTATGCGTTTGTGTACTTTGCTGTATGTTACCATACAGTGTACAGTACTTTATTTCAAGCCCAGGATGTACAGAAGCAAGCATAAAAGCAGTGGTGTATAACCAATTCTGTAAGTTGGGTACTTAGGCTAACTTCGTTGTACTTACAAATTGGACTTATGAATGTGCTCTTGGAATGGAACTAGTTCATACGTATGGGACTTACACTGTATTAAATAAGAGGTTAATATCCAAGATATATTTAAACAAACACACAACTTAGTAACAATGAAAAAAATCCAAATAAAAAATGGACAAAACTAAATGGACATTTTTCCAAAGAGGACATCAGAGTGGCCCATGGTACATGAAGGGATGTTCAGCATGCCTAATCTGCAGGGAAATGGAACTAAAAACCAGGAGGGACCACCTCATACCTGTTAGAATGGTCTCATCAAGAAGATACATAACAGGTGCTGAGGATGTGGAGGAAAGGGAACCCTTATATAGCTGCCAGTTAAACAGAGGTTTGAACTGTGCGGGTCCACTTGGATGTTTTCAGTAATTAGGTACTACAGCACTACATGGTCTGAGGGTGAATCTGTGGACGCAGAAATGCTGTTCAAGGGTTAACTGTACACTGTTGATGGGAATGTAAGCTGGTCCCACTATTATATAAAATACAGAGGCTCATCAAAAAATCAAAAATAGATCTCATACTTCCAGGTAAAGAACCAAAGTAAATGAAAATAGGATTTCAAAGAAAATAATGCATTATTCCCACATTTACTGCAGCATTATTCACAGCAGCCAAGATATGGAAGCAACCTAAATCCGTCAGTGGATGAATGGATACAAATAGTGGATATATACACACAGAATATTATTCAGCCTTGAGAAAGGATTCCAGTCATTTGCAACAACATGGAGGAGCCCTGAGCACATTACGCAGAGATAAGTCAGAGAAACACACTATGGTCTCATATGTTGAATCTAAAAATGTCAAACTTACAGAAATCAATAAAATAGTGGTTGCCAGGAGATGGAGTTCAGAGGGACAAGATTGATGTTAAGGGTACAAACTTGCAACAAGTAGTAAATAACCCATAGAGATAATGCACAATATAGTGAATGCAGATAACAATATTGAACTATAGTTATATAATGTGACAGATGGCACTACAGTGGCAAATGTATTACAGTATATAAATGTATCAAAGTAACACTATATACCTTGAATTTGTACAATGTTACATGTCAAATTTGTTCAATGTGAAAACCTTACAATAAAGATGTTTCTAACAAAGCTATTCCCAAGCTGTGTTCAGAAGTGTCATTTCAGGGATTGGAAGTGATATTCACCCATTTTGAAATGCATGTAGTTATAGTTAAGTATTTAGGAAGACATAATAAAGATTGTTTCTGACAAAGCTACTTGACGCTGTATTCAGCAGTGTTATTTCAGTGCATGCAAGTGATACTCTGTAGTGCATGTAATGAAGTGTTAACAAACAAAACACACTTGTAATAAAGATATTCGTAACAGAACTAAAAGCTGAAAGCTGGGGAGAGCAGTGTTAGCAACTTTTATATCTACAGTTATGTTTTCTAACTTTATCTATTGGTTGCATAGGTGTACTTTTTCCTTTGTGATTAGGGATATGAAATTTACAGACAAACCTGTGTAGTTTAAGTCAAAGCTCCTGAGTCTCCTGGCACTTGTCTGCTTACCCTTCTGTTCTCATTGGCATAAACTCAACTTTTATGTACAAGTACTACTCAACGGGTCCCAATTCTCCCAGATGCCTGCCATCTTTGTTCATTTTTGTTCTTGTTGACCTGAGACTGTTCTCCCTGAAGGTCATTCCTGTTGTGTAGGCTAGGCATCACTGCCTTCTCCAGGAAATGATCCTTGTTTCATCACTCCCTTCTCTGCCAGGCCCCGCCTCCCTCTCCACCACCACAGTACACACGCCACCCACCGCTGTCCCGAAATGCATAGTCAACGCAGTAAAAGGCCTAATACGCTTAGTGACCACATAGCCACTGCATTTCATGCTGCTTGTCTAGATAAAATCCTGGAACTCCATTTCAATCCCAGGCAAAAGGGAATCTCTTTAATGTCTAGTCAATGTGTTCACACTAGCACAAAATTGGGAAAGGAGTACATCAAGGCTGTATATTGTCACCCTGCTTATTTAACTTATATGCAGAGTACATTATGTGAAATGCTGGGCTGGATGAAGCACAAGCTGGAATCAAGGTTGCTAGAAATATCAATAACCTCAGATATGCAGGTAACATCACCCTGTGGCAGAAACTGAAGAGGAACTAAAGAGCCTCTTGATGAAAGTGAAAGAGGAGACTGAAAAAGCTGGCTTAAAGCTCAACATTCAGAAAACCAAGATCATGGCATCCGGTCACATCACTTCATAATAGATAGGGAAACAATGGAAACCATGACATTTTATTTTCTTGGGCTCCAAAATCTGCAACCATGAAATTAAAAGATGCTTGCTCCTTGGAAGGAAAGTTATGACCAACCTAGACAGCATATGAAAAAGCAGAGACATTACTTTGCCAACAAAGGTCTGTCTGGTCAAGGCTACGGTTTTTCCAGTGGTCATATATGGATGTGAGAGTTGGACTGTGAAGAAAGCTGAGCACCTAAGAATGGATGCTTTTGATCTGTGGTGTTGGAGAAGACTCTTGAGAGTCCCTTGGACTGCAAGGAGATCCAACCAGTCCATCCTAAAGGAGATCAGTCCTGGATGTTCACTGGAAGAACTAATGCTGAAGCTCCAATACTTTGGCCACCTCATGCAAAGAGTTGACTCATTGGAAAAGACCCTGATGCTGGAGGAATTGAAGGCAGGGGGAAAAAGGGGTGAGAGAGAATGAGATGGCTGGATGGCATCATCAACTCAACAGACAAGAGTTTGAGGAAACTTGGGAGATAGTGAAGGACAGGGAGGCCTGGCGTGTTGCAGTTCATGGGGCTGCAAAAAGTTAGACGTGACTGAGGCTTAACAATAACAGAGTATCTTATATAACGTGAGATACTTCAGTTTTGTTGGACCTGGTTTCTATGTAAGCATGAAAAAGGCAAATTATGTATTAAATACCATATATTCTTACTGTTTCTCGTAAATTAATGGTCTATTTAAAAATGTATTTTTTTGAGAGATTACAACAAATAAAGCCTTTATTAACAGGCTGCTAAGGAAAATTTCAGTGTTTCCTTAAAAAAGCTGCTTTATTGATTTCAGTGGCGATTTTATAAAGTTAACATGTCTTGAACTATTCAAAACGATGATTCACATTATTAACAATGACAATTACATGTGTACAGTTAATACTGCACTCACACTGTACACAAATAAAGTTAAATAATCAGGGGATTCTGAGTTTAAGATTAAAAACAATAATGCCTTGAAATGAACAGCATGATTACAAACAGGTATTATCTAAAAATACATATGTATATATACTTTACAACACCTCCCTTTCTCTCTTCATTCCAAAACCTCATTTACGTCATTAACAATGTTTATAGTTTTAAAAATGCTTTTGTGATTTTCACATTTAACTGATTTAAAATGAATGCATCTTTAAAAATTTTAATGGTGAATTAACATCAATGCAAGTGTATTTAATACTGACCAATGTCTGTAATGTCAAAAAGCAAAACAAAGCAATTGTCTTAAATACTTATAAATATTTAAACATAGAAAACCTCCATCAGTAGTCGAAATGGAGTGTATTTAATGGTTGTATTGAAAAGCAAAAGCAGGTGATTCATGCCAGAAAGATTTAAAAATGAGACTTTTCAAACAAACACTGCCTATGGGACAGCCTCATACTTTGATAATTTAAACCTAATTTTACTTATATAATAGAACTATTAAAAAAAAATCACACCCACAAGTAAAAAACTGGTAATTTGTTTACAAAGTGCAATATCTCAGTACAGCAAATTCATCTCAAACAAAGGAACAGTATGTGTGGCTTCTTGGCCTTGAAAACTACCCCCAGTTTCCGTTTAGATGGCTTAACATTTAGTTGTGATATGTGGCACAAGCCTGTGTAATGAAGCCTGGGTCCCTAAATGTCTGCTATTAATTAATTTCAACCTAAGAGTGATGAGGTACAAATTATGTGAATAAAATTTATGACCTGATAACAGTCAGTAATCCCAACACAAACTATTGCTTTGTAATGAATTCTGTATGGATTGCATATCTTTCAATAATTGAAGATTTTTCCTGCTTTTTTCTCCAGGTCTCGGTTTGGCAAAGTCCTTCTTATTTGTGGTCCCCGTCGTTGTAGAATGGCTGCTGCTGTTTCCTTCCTCATCAAGAGTCTTTTTGGTGGCTTTTAATTCCTTCTTCTGCTTCTCCAACTTTTGTTTCTCCAGCTATACCAAAAAACCAATGCGAGGAAGAAAAAGGAAAAATTAATAAAAACATATGCTTGCAAAAACTGGTATTTTTAACTCTCATACTAACTAAAACGCGCATGCATATATATATATATATATATGTATTTTCTGGGTTTTTTTTTTTAAGCCTTCAAAAACCTATTGTACTAGTATACAGTGACATAAAAACATGTAAACAAGAGGAAAAACATCAATTCTGGTGCTATACCAGAAGTTAAGATAATGCTGCCAAATGCAGAACAGGGTATGTAAGAAGCAAGAGGGTTTGGGGGGAAGTTCTCAAGGAGGAGGCAAAAAACTCCCACACAGATAATGAAAGACAAGAAGGATTTTAAATAAGTGAGGAGGAGAAAGGCATTCTCCAAACTAGTCTGAGCAGAGAGTAGCATGTTCTGGATAGATGGAATGTAATGGTTATGTATTAATACTATGAAAAGGATTTTTAATTTTATTATCTTTTAGAATAATTTAATTTCAAAGAGGGAGCTTTATTTTTACTTTAGCTGTTGGCTAAAATAAATTGCTGCTGGTGTTCAATTAGAAAAAGGTAAGTCTAATATACAGAAAACAGACTTCCCTGGTAGTCCAGTGGTGAAGAATCTGCCTGCCAGTGCACGGAACACGGTTCCCAGAAGATCCCACATATATCGGGGCAACTAAGCCCATGTACCGCAGCTAGTGAGCCTGCAGACCATAATGACAGAGCCCACGCGCCACACCCACCAAAAGCAATGAAGACCCAGTGCAGCCAAACACAGATAAATCTCATTCATGGAAGAATATGAAATATATTCAGTACTTGGAAGATGTATTTCAGATGATAAAATCTACTCGAAGAGACTACAAGACAGTGTCTTCCTAGCCTGCTTAACACCAACTCTTAATAACTAATGAACTGAATTAATAAGTATCTACAATAAGGAAATGTTTCTTATAGCTATCTATGATACAATGTCATCAATATATTTGATGGAAAGGGTTTTTTTGTCTTTTTTAACTCTTATTTTTTAATCATTAGAAATGAATAAAGGAAAACAGTTACCTGGGCTTGGTATTTTCGAACTTTAGTTATTTGATTGGCTTTTGCCTCCATCCTTCCCACTAATGCCTCCAGTTCACACTCTAGGTTGTCTTTCAGTTCAACAGTTGGTGATTCTTGGATAAGTTTTGCAAGCTGCTGGTGATCACTATATAAAAACCAGAAAAAGGTCTTAGTTAGGTTTCCTATGTTACATGGCTAAGTCCACTACATCTCCCTCACCATAGGATCCCTGCTTTGCCGATTAAAAAGTGACTCAATTTTTTCAAATAGAGCAAATTTCCCCACTAAGCCCAAAATGGGTACCAGAGGCAAGGGAAAAAGAGTTTAAAGCACTAATTACCTATCTCCCCCACAGAGCATTACATCATGTAGAAAAGGAAAGTCTAGAGAAGGATTCTTGTCCTTCACTCACTCGTTTCCTAACTTATCAGTTACGTTTAGCTAAACTCAATGTATAACAAGCTCCCAAACAAGGAAAAAAAACTTGAATATAAACCTTGGTCTTCAAAACATTTAAAAGTAATAGAAAAAGGAGATACTTTGCCCAGAAGAGCTGTTATTTGTTAAAGTCCTAGTAACTTGTTGAGTGGTTGGTAAAATGATTGTGTTCAGTAAATAAGTATTTAAATATGATAGAATTATTAAAGTCACCAAGATGTTAAAATGAGGTTTTAGAATTAAATGGAATTAAAAAAAAAACAAAACACCAAAACTCACAAGCTCATTTGCCCAAATTCATCTTGTAAAGTCTGCAGGACTTCAGACAGCTCTTCATTAACACTGCTAGTGGAGGGAGGTGTTGCTGACTTCTTGCTCTTCCCATTTCGTGACACTTGTTTTGCCAAAGGAATACTGCTGACTACTCGATCGTTGCACAAGACTTTACTGTGTTGCTTCATTAGATGCAGGACATGCTGAACATTGGCTACCACCGCGTGGCTGGGGCTGGTGGACTGAAGAAAAGAGAAGTAATTGAGCCACATCTTATGGAAAAATGTTTTACCCCCTAACCTGGGTAAAAAGACTCTTTCCTTCCTCACAAAAAACCCTATGATACAAACTTCTGACACCACAAGTGCATTTCCAGCCTGCCTCTTACTCTCCACCCTACTGTCACACATGTGGCTTATGTGCCCATCGCTGTCAGTTACAGAAGAACATCCCAACTGTCTGTCCCCCTGTTCCCCGTCTCTTGACTCCATAGTGCTATCAGCTGTCCTCCTAAAATATCATTCTGGTCATGTTCTTCTGATGTTAGGCCGCTGACTCTAAATGTACAAACTCCTCAGCACAGAAATCAAGGCCCTGTGGACACTAAGCTGCAACTTCTGCACCTCAGCCTCATGTCCCACTGTCTCCTGCCTGCTCGCCACTCTTTCAATAAACTGTGCTTGCACATGCCATTTCTTTCATGTGCCAATTTTTATACCATTAAAAAGAAAAATACACCATTCAAATATATGATTTGTAAAGACTTTCTTAAAACCTCCAGTTAATTAACTGGTCTAATCTCAGATGACCTATGGCATCTATCACAGCATTTATCACAGTAGATTGTTCACTGTATTTGCATGTCTATCTCACCTATTAAACAGTGTAAGTACTTCCAGGTGACAGAGGCTGTTACCATATTCATTTTACCCTCTAGTAGGAAGCACTCAGTTCATGTCTGTCATATAGACAACAGGGAAAACCTGACAGCCCTCTCAAAACTTTCTTGTTCTGAGTACGAAACAATGTCTCAATGTGAAATTTCAATGTATAAACAGATAGTTGGCCCAACTTGGCTCCATAAGCATCAGCTAGACAGACTGTTTAAAATGCAGATTCCTGGGCAGCACTCCCTACTCAATCAGTGCAGGGTCAAGGCTTAGAAATGTACATTTTAAGTTTGCATTTAAATGTACATTTAAATTGATTCTGATCAGCCAGGTTTGTAAACCACTCTGCTAAGTTTAACAGATGCTTTGTTTACCCTAGTTTTTTATGGTTAGGTAGCAAATAGAATTTAGTAATGTATATATATAGCTTTCCTGGTGGCTCAGGTGATAAAGAATTTGCCTGCAATGCAGGAGACCTGGGTTCGATACCTAGGTTGGGAAGATTCTCTGGAGGAGGGCATGGCTACCCACTCTAGCATTATTGCCAAGAGAATTCCATGGACAGAGGAGCCTGGCAGGCTGCTGTCGGGGTCACAAAGAGTCAGACACAACTGAGTGTACATGTATACATACGAAGATGCATATACCACATCCAAGTGGGGTTTATTCTGGGGATGCAAGGATAGTTCAGTATTTGAAAATGAATCTATGTAATTCAGCAAATCAACAAGGTGAGAAAAAAACCCACATAACCATTATCACTTGATGGAAAAAAGCATGTGAAAAACTCCAAAACCCATTAAGGGTATAAACTTTCAGCAAACTAGGAACAGAGAGAAATTTCCTCAAGCTGATGAAGAGCATAGGCAAAGAGCCTAAACCTAATATCATACTTATTGGTGAAAGACTGAATGCTTTCCCCTGAAGACCAGAAAAAGGCAAGGATGTCCACTCTCATCTTTGTTACTGACAACATGATACAGGGAATCCTAGCCAGTGCAATAATGCGAGAGAAGTAAAAAGGTACACAAATTAGAAAGGAAGAAATAAATGATCCTTATTTATATATGACATCATTTTTTACATAGAAAAGCTTCAGTTCAGTCAGTTCAGTTGCTCAGTTGTGCCCGACTCTTTGAGCCCATGGATGCAGCACGCTAGGCCTTCCTGCCCAACACCAACTCCTGGAGTTTACTCAAACTCATGTCCATTGAGTCAGTGATGCCACAGAAAAGCTTAAGTAAATAATAATATAAAAAAAATTCCTAGGACTAATAAGTGAATTCAGCAAGGTAACAGAATGTAAGATTAACATACAAAGCCCAATATACTACTAATGATCATGTAGAAACAAGTTGAAACTCAACACAATTCACAACTGCCCCCAAAAAATTGAATACAAATATAACAAAACTGGTATGGGACTAATACGTTGAAAGTAAGAGTTGTAAGTAAGAGATAACACCATTCTCACAGTGATCAACAAGGATGTCAATTCTCCCAAACTAATACAGTTCCTATCAAAATCCCAGCAAGACATATTTTTGTTAGAGAAGTTTATTCTAAAATTCACATGCAAAGACAAAGGAACTAGAAGAGCTTAAAGAATTTTGAAATTCTTTTTTCTGTTATTTTTCTGACTCTCCTTAAGATATTTTATGTCTATTGAATTTAGAAATGAAAAAACTGGAACTTGTATTTTGTCTTAAATTTCATTTTTTCCTAGCAATTAACTTTTATTGCATTTTACAAGTGTATTAGTTTATGACAATGTATAAATAAAAGTAACTGGCCCTCACACTAGACAGCTTGGGACATACTCAAATTGACAGCACGTTCTTAGCTGTCTGAGCAGTATCTCACAGAAAGCACAAATTTTAACTTCTGAAGACCTCAGGGCACCTGAGACTCTCACAACACTATCACACTGGCTCTGTGGAGAAGCCAAGAGTGGGATGATTTCAGAGAACAGCACTGAAACGTGTGTGTTACCATTTGTGAAAAAGAGCGCCAGTCCAAGTTCGATGCAGGAAACAGGGCATGCAAAGCCGGTGCACTGGGACGACCCAGAGGGATGGGATGGGGAGTGAGGGGGGTTTGGGATGGGGGACACATGTACACCCAGGGCTGATTCATGTCAACGTATGGCAAAAACCACCAAAGTACTATAATTAGCCTCCAATTAAAATTTTAAAAGTTGAAAAAAGACAAAACGACCTTGGGTTGAAAAACCCTATCTTTGAACCTGCCCTGTTCAATCTCTGTATTAATGACTTCAATGGAAATTACCAAATATAAGCAAATTAAATTTGGGGAGAATACAAATATAACATAAGACTGAACTAGATTCTAATCTAACATGGGTTAGGGTGAATCGGTTTCTATAGGGCTTCATTTAATTAAAAACTCTGTGTAAAAAAATCAATTCCACAAATACAGGACCTAGAAAGGCTGATGCTAAGACTAGGTAAAAGACCTGAGTAAAAGTCAACTTTAGTTGACTCTGGAATTAATGAGTTAAAGGGATGCTATGGCTTCCCTGTAACATGAATTCGATAATAAGCTGAATTCCCAGACCTCCAGAACATGACACTCTGTTCTGCGCTAGTCACACACTGAGAGGCATATATTCGATTTAGGAAGGAACGGAGTGATGAAGTGGTTAAGAAACTCACAAAGCACATCTTATCATGAATTGCTGAAGAAAAAGATTTAGTAACCTAGAAGAAGAAGGTAAGAATAAAAATAAAGCTATCTTCAAAAGTTTCAAAATTTTCGTATAGTTAAGGCTTTATTTGGGTCATCTACATCATCATCTATGTGGATCCCTGAGAGCAGAATAAATCCCACTGAGTAGAATTTACAGCAACAGATTTCATGTCATTTAAGCATTTCCAAGTAAAGCCGTATAGAAACATGAAGGGCTGTCTGAGGTATAATGAGGTTTCATAAGTAGGGTGTTTGGACAGAGTCCAGGACCATTATGCTGAATGTTTACATAATGAAAACACTGGACAGGGAATTGTTATTAAATGGGTTCCAAATATAACTGAACATCAGATATTGAGACTGGGCACCAATTAAATATACTTTCTAGGCTCCACACCTACACAATTCTGATTTAGTAGAATTGTGGCAAGGCTTCATAATCTGCTTTTTCAAGTGCATAGTCAATGATTCTGATACAGCTGGTCATCCTTTGAGAAACTGTTTCAAACCCAACTCAGAGATTCTATGGCAAAGCAGAACCATGGTTAGAAGCAACAGATACAAGAAAAAATGTAGGTCAAAAGATATCTGCAATCCAAGAAGAGATTAAATTTAGGGTAAAGAACAGCCAATGGCAAAATTTTTAAATAATGATTTGTGCCACACAGATCTCCAAAGGACAAGTGGAAAAGGAAATTGTTCCTTCCCTAAGCTTTCACTGAGAATTTACTGTGGGTTAAAATAAATAAATAAAACTTATTCCTCAAGCCTCTCAAACTCACTATCTAGAGTTGGGTATTCAAGGTACTGAAACAGCCAGCAACACAAACATTAATGAAAAAAGTGGTAAAAACTAACACAATGTTAAGCACTTCTTAGAAATCATCCAGTACTTGCTGGTATTTGACAAATTCACCACCTCCACATTTTTAAGTACTAAAGGAACTTAAGATTCAAGACTATGTATGGCTGCTTCTTGGAGAATCAATCCTTAAGTAATAAGCATGTGAGGACAAAGAGGACGTGACTTCTTTTCATTTAAATATCTTCAATCTATACCTAAATACGAATCAACAGGGCTGATGTGAAAATTCCAGTGCTACAAATATACAGTTTCCCATTTCCTTTCCTATCCATAACTATACCTTCACCAAACCAGGGGCTCTGCTTTTATTCATTTACTTCCTTCCACATACACTTTACCAGCTTTAAAGTGTCCCACCAAGGTTTCCCCCTGCGCCCCAGTCCTATAAAACTTTCTTCCATTTCTTTCTTACAACACTAGGATCCCTTGGTAAAAAAGCAGAATAATGTTTTCACCATTTATAGGTATACGGGAAAATGAGTGGATTTAATTTAAAGATCTAAGTTGTACAAAAAAATTCAGAGTTCAACCAACTCACCTTTCCAGCTACAAATGGCATATCACCCAAGCATAATCGATAATGTGGCTGTATAGCAAAATAGTTCCTAGAACCCTTCTGCAAGGAAAAGAAAAAAGAAAAGCAATTTTACTCACATGAAGATAAGAGCTGCCTATGTAAGACTAACCTGAAATTTAAGGTAACTGCTGGGATCCTGCTTTTTTATCTCTACTGGTATTACAGCCAGTGCTCCTAATAATACTTGTCAACACACATCTTACCCTAAAGAAAGGCTAAGAAAGAAAAAAAATAGTACCCGACGAAACAGCAGTTACAGTCTCAGTAAAGAAATTCTCTGTGTCTATATGCATGTACATATGTATATACACACAAACTTTTAAGAGCAAAGGGTAATTAATGCAATACTGAATAATAACTAATATTTGTGCAGTGCTATGTAGTTCTAAAATGTTTTCATATTAATTATCTCACTGTTAGGGTTAAAATTTAGAAGTAGGTATTACTTATCTTCATTTTCCCAAAGAAGAAACTTAGAATGAAACAGATTTACTCATCCAAGATTGAAGGACCACATGGTTTATGAGTACTTTCACATAAACTATGCCAAGCAATAACCAGTACCTTATGGTTCTTTTTTCATACCTTTTCTGGTGGTTTTGACTTCTTTTTTTTAATTCTTTTTGTATTGGGAACACATGAAGTTGCCTTATCTTGATAGATAAGTCTATTTACTTCTAGACCAGTCTGCAACTAGGAAAAATATGAAAGCCTAAAGTTAAATACTGAAGAAATAAAAGTTATGATTCAATGCCATGTAAAGGCCTATACAAAACCTACAGTAGTATCATACAGTACAGATTAAAAAACATATCACAGCTATGTAACTGTGTCTAGTCATAGCTATGTAACTATGTCTTGAGTCAATCTGTGAACACTTGTCCAATATTTTAAATCAATACCACTCTCATTTCATCTTGAAGTACTGTCCTATAATTTGTCCTTTCACTTAGCCTGGCTCCTTTTAGTTCCTTATTTGAGGTTGGTCCTTAAGTTTTATCTAACGAGTTAAAGCCAGTATTTCTAACTCAACCAATGCTTCAGCATCTTCTTTTCACACACAGCATGTACAACAATGCCAGACACAAAGCAGCTGGACACAAAGCACCATCTTCCTCTTTCAAAAGCTCACACGCTTAACCTAAGAAAAAGGAGCTGGAAATCCATGTCCAAAAGAACTGGAAGGCATGCCAGAGAATGGAATCAAGCCCTTTCCCTAGAAGCTTAGTAACTGCATTAATTTAATATAGTAGAAATTCCACAAGCAACTACTAAGGGTTTCAAAAAGGGCTGCTGTTTTCAACGTCTCCTTAAATATATAATTATATGCATATTTATATACATATATATGTGTGTGTGTTGTCTACAACAGTGGTTTTCAAACCTGCCTATGAAACAAAATTGTCTTGGGTTTGTGAGAAACACTCAGATCATCACACTGCCTCACCTATCCCACCTGGTGACCACTGCACGGGATAAAAATCCAGGGCTACAAATCAGCAGAGTTCATTTTCCTCATATGGTGGCTTTAGTGAATTAGTACAGGTCACCAACTATTGGGCAGCCCACTACCCACTACTGACCTGGCGTCTGGAGGCCACCAAAAAAGAGAAGCACTTACAAGACGGGATACTGAATGACGGGTACTGAATGACGGGATACTTTCAAACATTTCCAATGGTGACTATTACGTGAAGTTTTATACAACTATAAAGTTTTATATGATTGTAGGTATAGATTCTGATATTTTTTAGTCTATTGATAAAAAAAAAAGGCTGGCTGAAAGCCCACAACTGGAAAAACCCTAAAGAATTGCTCAGTTTTTACTATCTGCCTATAAAAACGTCTAAATTTTTCACAATAAGCTAAATCAGAAAATTTATATACTGGGCCATTCTGAAATATAAATTATCAAAGCAGTCCACATCTACATCTATTTATATATAAAGAATAGCAGGAAATGTGAGGAGCCTACCTGCTCACATTTCAACTTACCTGGGCTGCCTTAGCTTGCATTCGTTTCCTTTCTTGTTCTTCCTGACGGAGTTTTGCTTCCAACTCTTGCATTTTTTTCTAGTGATAAAAATATTAAAAGTGGTAACAGTGAAAAGAGTTTCAATGTGTATTTGTAACATTTTAATATAAGCAACACAGGAAAGTGTAAAATTTTCTCATGGTAAATATAAGCCTGTGAGTTCACCCTAGTAACAGCTCTGGGCTTGCCAGAATCCATGACCCTGCCTTAAGATTTAACAGAATTATGAGCGAAATCCAAGGCCAAAGAACACAGCTTCTGTATGAACGCCTGTAGGCTACATGGAAGTTGGATCTGGAACCTTACAGTCTCAGTGGTATTAAGTACTTCCAAATGAAACAATTAAAAACTTAAAGTGATACAAAGCCTTAAGGATTCTGGAAAACACATTTCATCTGTCAATATTTTCAAAAATAACTCCTTCCTTAGGTACGCTACTATTGTAAAATGTGAACTTTCTCTCCAAATTTATGTTTCCTCCTTAAAAAAAAAAAATCCTATACGTTTCCTTACTATAAGGTCACTTTTTTCCTATAAAATATTTAGTATTATAAAATGACCACTTTTACAAAAGAACCAATATTATGCACAGGTGAGGAAGAAATTTTCACTGACTTCTGCAAGGGCTTGCATTGTGGTAAGCTTGTTATACTCCTGTTCAAGAAGATCCAATTTTTCAAGTTGGTTTTGAACATGTGTTTGATCATGTTGTCGTTCTCTTTCTAGGGAGACCTGGGAAACAGTATTAAATATAGCATGATAATCTGACAAAAAACTGAAAAAAACTAATACAGATAATAATAGGCTACTTGTCTTGCTTTTCACAGAACTACTTAGATACTGCAGAGAAATTCTACGAAAACATAAGATGAAACCATAAGAATATTAACAAATACAAGTGAAATGTCCTTATCATACACTATCATAACATGTGGTTCTATACAGTGATACTTAATACTCTGATAGTACTCATCCAACATACAGGCAGAACACAAATATTAGTTATTAGTCTGGTTTTCTTAAAGAGTTTTAATTAAGGCAATAATCATGGTTTTGGTATCTACCATTTACACTTCCTCTGAATTCTACGCAAAGCATCCACCATTTTTTCTTTTTCTCAGGTTTACAGTTAAGGATTTGAAGACTGCCACCTATCAGATTTAATGACTGACAGTCACAGGATAATAATAGGCTACTATTAGGATAAACTATATATCCTATATATAGGATAAACTAGAATAATTAAACTAGAATAAGAAGTAGAAATATGCTAAATTGAAGTATACACATAAAAGGTCAAAACACTAAGCATTTGAACTTGCAAACAGTGTATCTTCATATACCAAGTCTACAGCAATAGACATCATACTAACAGAAATTTTAATATGACAAAGTACTACAAAGCAATACATTTCTCAGGAATTTGTGTGAACAGTTAACTGTCCTTAAAAGAATATGTTAAGTTAAAAATTGGCAAAAATCACATTTTTTCAGTACTGAAACCATTCTTGTTAAATGAATTATTCAAAGTTTACTGATGAAAACAGAGCTTAATTCAAAGACATATTTATGTATAACAGATGTATTACTCCAGACATCTCACTACTGTTTTTTTTTCCATTTATTTTTATTAGTTGGAGGCTAATTACTTTACAATATTGTAGTGGGTTTTGTCATACATTGACATGAATCAGCCCTGGAGTTACATGTATTCCCCATTCCCTTCCCCCCTCCCCCCTCCCTCTCCACCTGATTCCTCTGGGTCTTCCCAGTGCACCAGGCCCGAGCACTTGTCTCATGCATCCAACCTGGGCTGGTGATCTGTTTCCATTTATTTTTATTAGTTAGAGGCTAATTACTTTACAACATTGCAGTGGTTTTTGTCATACATTGAAATGAATAAGCCACGGATTTACATGTATTCCCCATCCCGGTCCCCCCTCCCACCTCCCTCTCCACCCGATCCCTCTGGGTCTTCCCAGTGCACCAGGCCCAAGCACTTGTCTCATGCATCCAACC